CAAAAATAGCGTAAATCGAACAGATCTATGAAAACTTGAAAATCGTGAAAATTGACAATCCAAAAATTCGTTACAAGATGCACTATTTCCAAAACTTGAAATCTATTTTTTCTTTTTCTCTTGCCCATGCATCTTGATTTTAAGAGGATATTTGGACATCAAAACAATCTCTTCAAGTGAAATTTTTGAGGTAGGCTCTCATTTGATTGTTTAGAGCCTTGGCTCTATATAAACTTTTTCCTTATCTAAACAACCATATTCACGATTTTCAAGTAGTTATTTATCTGTTTTATGTGCACCAATTTTTGGGCTTTACATTCAATAATTAGAAGAAGTAACATATTTTCAGATCATCGTAATAATTTCTAGAATCGAAACTGCATCTACCTACAGGGCCCTTAAATAATTTTATCTGGGGCGAAATCTACTTGTTAAATTTTATTGATCTAAAACTTTTGAATCCATCTAAAGTGACATTAAATAATTATTTAAAAAAATTGGATTTTGACTTATTCAACACCTAGATTTTACCAGTGTAGGGGTGGCAATGATGCGACCAAACCTGAAACCCGAAGAGTGGACCTAGCCTTGGGGCCGGGTATAGGTCCAAAATTTGGACCCGAATGTTATTTGGGTTCGGATCCGGGCCCCACCATACCCATACTTGAAGTCATAGGGTATATGATGTCAATCTTATGTCTTTAGGCTTGCGCTAGATGTTCACATTGTCACAATATTGGCAACATTTACAGTTTTATTGGCAAAAAAAAAAAAAACTACATAATCATAGGGTTTATCATGGTAAAAAAAAGACAAAAAAAAAATCATAGTCATAGGATGGCAATGGATCCGACTAGACCCAAGAAACAATAGGTGACCGGGACTCGACGGGTCTAGATATGGGTTCACCCAAATACTATTTGGATCTAGGTCCGGGTCTAGCTGGACCCGAGCTGTTGCCACCATGTGCGTGTGAACTGATCTTTCTTCAACCTTGAGGAGCTCTTTTTTTCTAGGAATGTGTAGATTGCATTTAAATTTTTTTTTTTTAAGAAGATATATCCTCAAATTTTACTTAAAAAAAAATCTTCATCTCGAAATCAAGTTTCTTAGTTTGACATGACATTATATATATGACAAAAAATTAATTTGGTATGACATTAAAGCTAAAAAATGCTACACCTTTTTTCTTGTAGGGAGCTGATAGTTATAAGTTGGATGATTGAGTGTGTTTCAATATTTAAGTTTATAATTTCTTTCTATTAATCTTATTCGATTGAAAATTTGGTTCATCTAAACTTTCAATAAGGGTGAATTTGCTAAAAATATAAAAAGATCTTTTTGAAATTAAGATGATCAAAGTGTTCCTAATCACTGGTATTTTGACCATTTTATTTATTTTTAATATTTCCCTATATTTTTAAGAGATGCGCCCTTGTTGAAAGAGCAAGGCTCGAATTTTCAAGTTAATTACATTTAAAAAAAATAAAATAAAATTTGAAGAGGAGACGTGCTCTTCAGATGTCCGATCATAGATTGTGAGTTAATAATGTTCCATTGTAGGAAAAATGCAATGCAAAATTCCAAAATAATTCAATGGGTTTGGCTTCATGAGTAAACAAACCCTTGACTCACAAAGTTATTATACTAAACCTTGGTTACGTTAAAACCCGGTTATTCAAAAAGATTGTTTAAAGGGTGTGGTTTCCTACAACTTTAAACAATCCAACAAAGGTGCACCTTCAAATTTTATCATAATATATAATTTTGATATAAAATGTTATTAGGATTGTCTCAAAATCTATTTTTATATCTAATTATAAAATTTTAAATTCTAAAAATGATTAAAATCAAGTAGACCTTAAAACATATGAAAACCATGAAAACGGATGGCGTAGATAATATATTGTAAGATGCACTATTTTTGAGATTCAAAATCCTTTTATTTTTCATAATCATACATCTCGATATCGAGATGATCAATCACACGGTTTTTCAACATTAAAACAAGCTTTTTCGATGGATGTTTGAGGTGCATCTGTAGTTCTACATTTTAAAGTTGCAACCTTATATAAACTTTTTCCTTGTTTAAATGACTTGTTTAAATGACTTTGAATAGTACCCAGTTTATGCAAATTTCATATTTGGATAGTCTTTTTAGATAAATAGGTTTGCTATTATTATTGAGTGCGGATTGTATTGAGCCGAGGCTCTAAACAATCACAGTAGAGCGCAACTTCAAATAGTATCGAGAAATGTAGTTTTATTATTAGAAATCTTTGTGATAGCCTTAAAAATTATTTTTATCTCTAATTATAAAATTTAAAGCTTAAAAAGTAGTGTAGATCGAGCATATCTATGAGAGCTTGAAAATTAACTGTCCAAAAATACATTACAATATGTATTAATTCCAAAACTTGAAATCCATGTTTTTCTAAAATCAAAGAAAGAGATTATTGAAGATTTTTCTGTGTGAACATCTAAGGGATCCTTCTTATTTTAGATAAGGTAAAGATGTAACCTTAAAATGTAGAACTACGGATGCACCTAAAAAATCCATCGAAAAATGTAGTTTTAATGTTGAAAAACCTTTTGATTGATCATCACGACATCGAAATGTATGACCATGAAAAATAAAAAGATTTTAAGTCTCAGAAATCTTGTATTTTACAATATATTATCTACACCGTCAATTTTCAAGATTTTCATATATTTATAGATCTACTTGATTTTAAGTATTTTTTAAATTAAAAATTTTATAATTAGATATAAAAATAGATTTTGAGATAATCCTAAGAACATTTTACATCTAAATTATATACCATGATAAAATTTGAAGGTGTACCGTACCTCTACAGCTACGGATGCATCGGTATGCCAACTGCACCTTTTAGATAAAGATGACATATTCTTTTATCTTGACCGACCTTGATAATTCAAAAAAAGCTATGATGATGATGATACTACTAAATAACTTATTAGATGATATAAGCCCTTCTCTCTCTCCCACACAAACACATTAACTTACAAATCTTACAGTTCTCTCTCTCTCTCACACATTTAGTTATCTCACAGCTCTCTCTCTCTTTTAACATACTAACCTTCCATCTCTCTCACACATATTTAGTTATTTTAGAGCTCTTTCTCTCTCTTTTAACATACTAACCTTCCATCTCTCTCACACACATTTAGTTATTTTAGAGCTCTTTCTCTCTCTTAAGTTATTAACCCCTACCTATATATATATATATATATATATATATATATATATAACTAAATTATGTTTCAGGCAAAAGAAGAGATATCCTTCGAGAATTAGAGTAATTTATGTAAGGACATAAAATAAATGCATTAACTACGAAATGGGTCAATTTTAACTAAAAATTACGGGAAAGGTCATTTACTGTAGAGTTTTTGAATTTTTTCCATAATGCCCTTCCCCATAACGGTTTTTGAAGAAAAAAATTTGATTGTCTGGGCATGTCCAATGTTTTGAGATAGTTGGCAACCTGTCCGAGGCTACTATCCGCGGACCACCCAAATTGTAGTGTTATAACACAGTCCAAGGTTCCCATCCCCGAACTGCTCAAATTGTCATGTTACAGCACATTATAGGCAATTTGAGGTCTCCACCCTTGAACAGCCTATATAAAAGATTTCGCCTAATATAATCCTCATGAGAAATTAGTAAAAAAATCAATTGAAATAATATACATCTTTAGTTTCATCCAATACTTCAAAATTTTCTACTGCAATTACCAAATGCTTTAGTTTACTAATCAAATCTCTTCCTATTTTTTAACTTGTACCATAAAGATTTTTAATTTGATATCATAAATTTATTGCTTATTTAAAATTATATAGATAGACATTTGATTCCATAAGAAGATATGTGATTCAATGTTATAAAAGACATGTGATTCCATGTAAGTGCCAAAGGCATGCAAAATAAGTAAGAAATTGTGTGATGATGCCTTTAGAATGATAAAAGTTACTATTATAAAATATTTCTTGAATGGTGATGATGTTATTATTAAAAAATCTTTTTAGAATGATGCAATGATAACTTTAATTTTGCATATTCTGTGGCATGGTAAAATGTTGGAAAAGCATCTCCCATATTTCTTCTAGAAATAGTCAAACAATAGCCATGTATTTCCCAGGTTGGATATAATACTACCCAAATAGTTACAATCCATTTGCAGTATTTTCCAGTTTGGATCTAAATACTACCCAAACAGTTACAATTCATTTGCAAGTAATGATTACGCAGTACTGTATTACGTCAGTAATATATTTCATAGACAATATATTTCCAGGTATCCAAACAACTCCTAAAGGTTCGTTCTGATTTTAGATAAAGATGACACATTCTTTTATCTTGTACTATAAATATAATGGCCAACCCCAAATAATTAGAAAAAAACTATGACGATTAGGATACTACTAATATAATGATGATGATGATGATAGTAATAATAATAACAAAATAAATAATAGTATTATTATTATAATTATTATGAGACACTATTTATACATGAGATTATTATTTTTATAATAATATTGTTAATATTTTTTTAGTATTATATTAATGACATTTTATATTATAATTATTAATAATTATTATTCTTATATTATAAAATATTTTAATAGTAATAATATTATAGTACAAATAATTGTTTCATGAAGGCTGGACCGCATTTGTACAGTATGCGATCTAAAGGTCTAAAGCATCCATCTTACATATGATGCAAATAGGTGGTCCATTTAAAAACAACGGTACAAATTATTATTTTTAATGGTACAAATGTTTTTTTAATATAATTATTATTTCTAATTTTCAAAAATTGATTTATTTATTGAACATGATATTCATGTCAAAGATTATATATTCTCTATAAATTAAAATCAAATTATATTTAAAAAATATATTTGTTACGAAGCCCGCAGTTCCACGTTTGTGGTCCTTTAGATAATTCAGCCTGAGTAAACGGGCCAACCTATTTTGAATTTCAAATCGATTACGAGTGAAGTTGCAGAGGCAAGTGGGACTGAATGTAAGCGGTTACTGTAGAAACCGTACTGTTATTGATAGCCATGTGCCGGTAATTTCATGATCTTTCATCTCGGATCCTCTCTCTTGTTTATTCAAGTCACCAACTTTTGGCTCTCTCAGTCCCCCACCTCACTCAGTTCAGTGGCCTTGGAAAAGAAGGGCGCTCTCTTTCTCTCATTTTACCCTTGAAAAAAGAAGAGGCCTCTCTCTCTAAACCATGGGAGAACTCACACCCAAGACCGGCTACATGTTGGAAGTAGATCACAAGACCCTCTTAAAATCAGATGATTTATACCAGGTACTTTCTCTCTTTCTTTCTTTCTTTCTCTCTCTTTCTTGTGACAAGGAGAGCGATCGTCTTTCTTTCTTTCTCTTTCTCTCTCTCTCTTTCTTGTGACAAGGAGAGCAGTCGTCTTTCTTTCTTTCTCTCTCTTTCTTGTGACAAGGAGAGCAGTCGACCAGCAATGTTTGGATTGAAATTTCTCTTCATTGTTGGATTCAACTTGCATGATTCTACTGATTCAATTATCCATAGGGTATTTTGTGCAAAAATTTTTTTGCCAAACGTTTTATCATTATTTGTTTGTGAAAAATACTTAAAGGTAAAAACTTTGGTGAAAATTTGTGTTAGAAGATCTTCATGTAAGTATTTCGAAAAAAAATTATCTGTGAAATTTTTTCCAGGCACAATTTTTTGTGAAAGTTGCCAAGCATTTTTGCCAAAATTTTCAATTATCGATAGGGTTTTTTGGACTTTTAAGAAGGGCTCAAAAATTGACACAGGGGCAGCACTAGTTTTCTCCAATAAAGTAATTTTTAGGAAGAAGATGCTTGTCACAGTGGTTTTATTGACTTTTCATATTTAGGAAAAGATAGGGGATGCAGATTTGGTACGAAAAGAAATTTCATTGAAAATTTTGGTAGATTTTCAGCACCGGTGGGTTTTTCTGATCCATTCTCCAAAAAGAAGAAACGAAAATCATTTTCCATATTTTTACTTGAGAGTTAGAGAGATAGAAGGGAGAGAGGGTGATAAGGCCGGTAATGTGCTCTCCCGTTCCGGGCCTAAAACAAATAGGGTCTAGGCCATAGTTTGTGGCCCAAGGGCTGCAGGCCCGTACCCGCCCAGTTCAGTCTGGCCTTGTTAGGTCCAGGCTGGGTTTGGGTCAAGGCCAACTTGGGCCCAATCTATTGCCACCCTTAGGGCTCCTGGAAAATAAACATTATCCGGACAAAAAAGGAGTGGTTCTTCTTCATAGGATCTGGAATGTTATTTTTGGAAAGTTTAAAGATGATAATGTTAAAGAAGTTTTGGGTACCTAATAACAAATATATATTAACAATATAAATATATAATATATTTGTAATATATATATATATATATATATATATATATATATGAATAATGATTTTACGAGATTTTTTTAAATCTACGTCTATATGACTTTAAAGGATTACAATTAAATTTGACACAAATATCTAAAAAAGTCAACTACCACACCTATGTGATAATTTTTATAGAAATCTGTGTCAAATTTAATAATGATCATTTAGAGTTCTATATACATGAATGTAGAAAGATCTCGTAAGATCATTACTCTTTATGTATTATATGTAATATATAATAAATATAAATTTTATTAATAAAATCAATATAAATATATTTATATAATATATTATAATAAAATATGATATATTATTTATTATGACGATCACGACTCATTTTGTATTTTAATTTTAATTTTAATTTAATTTTTTTTACAAATCCAAATAACTTGAAAGGTTGAGCGTGTATTCTTCAAAAATAAAAGAATCTAATAAAAATATCAAAAAAAATAATTTGTAATAAATAAATTGATCAAAATATCCTTGTAAAATTTTAAAGGTATTTTGATCAATTTATTTTGTGAATTATTTTTTAAATATTTTATTACATATGCCTTGATGAGAAGTGCACACACCTAAAAATTTCAAGTTATTTGGACTCGTATAAAAAAAAATTAAAATTCAAATACGAAATGAAGTCGTGATTATCAGATCGGCCTTGATTCAATCTAGACCCTTAAGCTTATATGTTCATATGAATTAGTGAGCTAACACATATGACGTTGTAAATAGTTAATAGTGATATTTAGGAGCAATAATCGAGAAAAACGTTTGAAGAGTTTGGGTTCCCAACTTCAACAAAACCTTAAATTTTTAAAACATGAAACTTTGGGTAAAGTTTAGGTTCCTGTTTCTGTTGCACTTACCTTACAGCCAAAGGTGGTACTCTTATAGTATTAGGAACGTTATCTTTATGAAAGTTTTCTTTTATGCGAATAAACACGCCTTTAGAGGGATGGATCTCAAGTCGTCTTTCATTGTCAGATTTCTCATCGGAAAAGAGGAGCTTCATTTCCCAGCAAATTCTACAAACCCACTTCCTGTTTTTCACTCGGAACATCATTTTCACATATCTTTCATGTCATTTCATGGTCCCTTTTAACCCAAATCACGCTCAAGCCATTGGTCAATGATCAAGTTCTTCGACCTCTTGTTTAAACCACTACATATGTTATGGAACCATTCATGAATCTGAACCAATTCCTGAGCTTTGTCGCTGCAAAAGACATGCACTTGAGCTGCTCTTTTTCTATAATGGAATCTACCTGGTCTCCGCTGATGGGATTGTATACTTTATCTTTATTATAAAAATATCACAATCAACCCTAGCTATCCGATATAAAATATGGTTATCAGATGTGGATTCTAAGAACTTGGATGCTTTACGGATTTTGAAAAAACATTCCCTTGAACAAGTCTCACTTTCAATAGTTAATAGGGAAAATGACTTTTAACCCCTGTCTGAAAAATTTTCATTTCTATTAACTTTTTGGGTTAACCAAAATCTTTTGTACTTCTTTAAGTTTTAAACTTTGGAACCACTAGCTTCCTAATTATGTTTTTTTTTTTTTAAACAAATTCTCGAAGAGACAAGTTATTTAATAGAACCATATCGAACTTCTGATCTTTTTGTTTTGCAAAATGCCAAACCTATACACTAGTCTTCCATTTTTTTTTTGTGACTTGATATACAAATTTTATTGATGATAATAATTTATAATTAGTATAATTAAGTAATAATTATAATAATAACAATACTATTTTAATTATTAAATTATTTCATCTCTTATAAGTATTTTAATAAAGTTTTTTAATAAATACATAAATAATAATAACCATTAACAATAGTAACAAATATCTTGATGAATCATTTTTCAAGTTCAAATGATATTGATATAATTGTCAAATAGGTCATAATATTAAAGAAAAATTCTTTTTTTTTTCTTTTTCATGTCTAAATTTATAGTGTGGGATCCATAGTGGTAAGATTGGTTTTAGGCAACGGAAGAGAAAAGGGAAAGGAGCATTTTGTAAAATAAAAAGATCAAATTTGTAAAAAAAAACAAAAAAAAACATAATTATGGGACTAACAGTCTCAAAATTTTGAATTTGAGGGGGTACAAGGGATTTTGATCAACCCAAAAGGCTAGCAGGGATGGAAGTTTCGGGGAGGGGTGTAATGGTCATTTTCCCTAGTTAATATTAATTGTGACCTCCCTCAACAAAACATAGATAATCTTATTATATTCTTTTCATCAGTGTCTTAAAACTCGACAAGTCCCGCTGCGGATGGCAGATCTAGATGGGGCATCGGTTGGGACCAAACTGGTTACGTGATGAGATGAGTCCCACCCGGTTCTACCGAAAAAACCATCCTTTTATATTGTTTATTTTTTTTGCTTTAAGCTTATACAATATTTATTTAAGTTCCCCTAAATTCCCAAAAGATAAAGGATTATTAATTGTTATTTATTTTATTTATTTTTTAATATTTTTTAGATTATTGATTTGGGCGTCCGATCCAAATCATCAATCCAACCCACCTATTCAAACCTGTGGGATAAAGCTCCACCCACCTATCCGGGTTTTGAAACACTGCTTGCATTATTGGATTCCAAAGAGCACATGGTGTAATAAATCAGCTCTAGTTTTGATCCATAGATGTGGAGGAAACTCAAAATGGCGACGAGAATTTCAATTGAAAATTTGTGTTAAGAAATCCAGTGTCCGTGGTGATTTTGTACTTATAGGATGGGTCATATGCAAGGTTTTAAAAAACGGCTAGTCGAATCGGACTCGTCCGGTTCGATTCGGAAACACACGTGCCCATGTCGATTCCAATCGAAAACCGAGAACCGCCCGATTCTAGAGTGGAACCGTCGGTTCCCATCTAGTTCAGCCCGGTTTTAGAGTGGAACTGCCGGTTCCCATCCGTTTCAGCCCGATTCTAGAGTGGAACCGTCGGTTCCCATCCGGTTCAGCCCGGATTGCACATGACACGCACGTGCGAGCGTGCCCCACGCACACTCACACGCGCACACAGGTGTCCAAGCGCACGTGCGAGCGTGCCCCACACTCAGTCACACGCGTACACTGGTGTCCAAGCGCACGTGTGAGCGTGCCCCACGCTCACTCACACATGCACACGTGTTCGAGCGCACGTGCGAGCGTGCCCCACGCACACTCACACGGGTGTCTGACCGCACGTGCCCCACGCACACTCACACGCGCACACGTACGTCCATACGCACATGCGAGGTTGCCCTAATATTTTTATACACATTTTATAATTCATATTGCATAGGTATTTATATACCAAATTTGAATACCCATCTTTCAATGTGGGATAATTCCCAAACATCATTAAATGAAAACGAAATGTAAATATAGTATATTAATCAGCAATTTATAATCACATGTAGTTAGATGGCTTGATGGTTATGACTTTGAATTTTTTACTTGAGCTCTCAAGGTCGAATCCCCTTGGGTATGTGTTGCATTTTTGTTGTGTATATAGTGATTGGTATAAATATTTTTGTTATTTTCGAATCCCTTAGGCATCTGTTGCATTTTTGTCATATGCAATGATTTAAAAAACGGATCGGTGATTCAGATCCGGTACCTCAAAAATCGATCCGGATCGGCGAATCGGTTATTCGGATCAGGAATCGACTGAATCGGTCGGATTAAAGCCTCAAAAAAATTCAAAAAAATTATTAAAATTCATTATAAATGTTTTTTTTTAAG